ATGCTAAAAACAGAGAGAAAAATGCAATAATAAGCAGACGATATTAGAAAATATAGATTTGACTGGAAAATGAAATTATCTGAAATTAACCACACGCGCACACGATATTTACAAAAGTAAAGATATCCAAACCTAAAAAGAAAAATATATAAGTTATTCCATCAATAAATGCCATAAGTTTGTTTATATCTTCATTATTTTATGAGTTATTAAACATCAAAATGGGTCCGGGACTTTATTGTAGTTTAATGACCTGTATTTTCAGTTTTATATGTAGCCAGTATGAATTTTTCAGTGCCTCTCCAAACAGCTGTAAAGTTAATGGGAAAAAAAATCGTTCCTAATTTTCAAGAAAATGCATTTAAATACGGTTAATTGTTATTTCTATTGATTTAAGAAATTTAAATGAAAGTCTCTACAATTCATATATTGCATAAAATACGCAAAATTATGTTAACTGGTTAGGCAAGTACTAAAATTATTCATATGCCTTTTGTTGTAATATAAAGTGACTTGAAGCGAGATGTAATTGCACTTTCCTAATGCAATAAACTGTTTGGAAGTATTTATATCTGAATGTAGTTACATTTTGATTTTGTCAGTTATGACTAAAATAAAAGATAAATATTAGAAGAAAGAAAATGAGTTTTTAAGATGGCGAAAGAAAAAGCTACAGTGGAAAGGAAACATTTAAAGTTTTGCTACAATTTAAAGTTTAATTAAAATAAGTATGATATACACAACTCTTCCAAATAAACCTCGCAACGGACGTCTTCAATAACTAACGCCGAGACGTGAAGACTTATTCTGGGAAAAAAAGGAAGGGGGGGGAAGGAGAATCTGAAAGGTTTTCCAGATTTTAAATTACGTCCAAAGGGGCTTCTTTTTAACGTTTTGTGTATACCTTTATTTATTAAATATCATGCTCTTCTCACTTAAACCATAAATTTCAGTACAATAGCAATGTCGCAAAATAATTTTAAAATAAGCCTATCTTTATAATTTCCGATACATTTCCGCGCGCTGGAGACAAAAAGGTTTTTTTTCCTTTCGTAGATTGTTGCCATTGCTCGCTTTCAAATCGTTGAGTTTGTTATTCAAAAATTCGTTAAAGTTTTACAAATATGAAATCGATAATAAAACAAATTCCAAATTTCAAATTTGGGCTCCAAAATGCTATTCGCAGTAGGATTACGTCATTCAATATTCGATGGCTCTAGGTACGTTTTTTATCAAATGCGAGAAATATACATACATTTATAGTAGATTTTATTATTTAATTCTTCAAATATAATGCAGGACTCTAGCATCTTGTGGCAACAGTTTGAAAAGTGAAACGGACATTTATAGTGATTCAACGTAAAATCGCAAAACGAAAACAATAGTTTTTCAGGAACAAAGCCCCTTTGGACTAAAAAAAAAACTTTTTTAAGCTCTAGTTCTGACAGCGATGTAGAACAAGAATCGGGCATTGTAGTTTCTAGTTCAATAATCAGAATGACATTAAATGAACAAGATTTTTCAAACGTCTATTGTGGGAAAAAAAAAAAAAAAAAAAAAAAAAAGCGTGCGTCAACACATCACACATGTGCAGCTTTATACAGACAGTATGTCGGACACTGCTTGCTCTGACAAACATAGTCACGCCCCCGTGATCATACGACTGCCGCTATTCTAAAAGATAATCGGCACGCACATGTTGACCTAGTATGATTAAAGCCCATGCAGGGAACAGGTAATGAGACAGCGGATGAACTCGCTAAAGAAGCTGCTGACCAAAATGAGACCGATATCAGTATCAGCACCACATCTTTCCCAAAAGTCAATGCGAAATGCTGCTATCCAGTGGTGGCAAAGAGAATGGGATCAGGGCGACACGGGAAGGAGAGCGCATAGATTTTGCCAAATAACACGGAGCGCCTACGGATCGCTGTGTTTGCGGGGTGAGGGGCACCGGACCATTATATCTTTTGTGCCCACCGGAAACAGTTCCACTTCCGATACCAGCCAATATCTCGCATTTTCACAAGTTCCTAGCCAAAAAACAAGCGGCAAAATAAAATGCAAAAATAATAACCACCATTGCAGCATATGGCCAGGACCTCTGTCAAACAGAGTAATAGGGCACATGCATTACTGCACTGACATATGCACTCTAATGCTACCATCTAATCTCTGACTGCATAGGGGAAGCAGAAGAAAATTGAACACCATTTTTAGGTGTTTAATTTCTTCTTTTGTATAACCTATTAAGTGTTTTTTTTTTTTTTTTTTTTTTTTTTTTTTTTTTTTTACCGTGTTGTATATTAATTCAAATGTATTCAAATCCAATGTTAAACAGTTGCTCCTGTATGGCCATGTATCCACACTTATAACTATTAAATAAACTCCAGGGGAGGACGCGGGACATATGCCTGTTAACCTCTGTTAAACTTCAGGCGTCCCCGTCCTCCGTCACCTGTAACCTGCTCGGAAAAAATTCTATGCGTCTGCTCTTAATGAACAAAAAAAAAAAAAAAAAAAAAAAAAAAAAAAAAGGAAGGTTTATCTTTTACAAACAAATACCTAAATTAACGCCACGAATTTTGAAGTAAATTTATATTTAGTGATAAATCTAAATTTAATATTTTTGTACCTGATGGAAATTTTAAAATATGACGTAAGGTAGGAACCACGCTTCAAAGAAAATGCTTACTAACCGCAGTAAAGTATAGTAACGGCAATATTTTTGTTTGGGGATATATGTCTGCTTACAGAGTCGGCAAATTAAGATTTATGGAAGGAAAATGGATAGATTTAAATACATAGACTTACTTAAATCTCAAACAGAATGCTAAAAAAATGGGATTTTTAGTTCATCACGATAACGATCTGAAGCACACTTCTTTGGATACCAAGCTGTGGCTTTTGCATAATGTGCGCAGTCAGTTAAATATACTTCGTCAGAACCAGATATAAATGTTACAGAATACAAATGAGCACATTTACAATAAAAAATAAAATTTTACTGAATTCTTTACAAGATACAATTAAAAATGCTTTACAAGAGGAATGGGAAAAATTTACTGAAAAAAAAAAAAAAAAAAAAAAAAAATTAATTCATTGCCCTAAAGATTAGCAGCACCCATGAAAGCAAAAAGCTATCCGATCAAATATTAATTAAATTAAAAATCTAGAAATTCTGTGCATTTAATTGTTTTGAATCTAGTTATGAGTATTTTCTATGCATTTAGGTGAAACCAAGATATTTTTCTACTTCAAGTGTAAATAAAAGTAACTTATGTTTTTTACCTTTTCCTTTTATTGTTTAATAATTTCAGTATATGAAAATAATATTAAATGTTCATTATATCATTTTCCTTGCAAATAACGGAGGTTTTTCAACTTTTTTGACAAGTGTATGAATACTTTTCATGCTGACTATATATACTTTTAATTCTCAATAGCTATAATCTTAGTGACACTTTTACTAACACCACTTTCGACAGAAAAACGATTTTGGAAAATCATGCTCTTGGGCAGAGTAATATACTTCGAAAAGTTATTCGAATTCTATTCTATCATTTCGGACCTTTCAAAAATAGACGATACGTTTAAATCATTTGTATAATTTTAAATTGATCGTAAAAATGGACAACATAGTTAAATCATCTGTAGACTTTTTAATGGATCATTTAAAAACATTCTATGGATTAGAAAATTATGGAGGAAAATGTAAAATTGCAGAAACAGATTGACTGAAGAAATGTTATCAGATAATAAAACATTAAATTAAATAGTTTATCAAAAAAGATGTGAAACTCTTATTTGAATGAACTTTGGTTCAATTATGAAATCGCAAGGTTAATTGACTGAGATTTTGTTATTTAAAAATGTACTATTACTGAATTATACACATTAAAAAAAAATATTGTATGATCTTAAATTCACTTACTGCGAAATAGAGTTATTCTAGTACTTCCGTAATTGCTGCAAAGTAAGTTAATAATCATTTATTTACTAAAGAATATTGATTATATTATTTCCTAAGATTAATTTTAGTAGAATTATCTTAAAGATTTATGTAGAAAAGATCTGCAACAGGAATAAGTATTGTGCAAGTATTTTTAGAGTACAATATCGTTTTTGAGTACCTTACTGTTTGGTTATCTTGGCTTATATAGAATAAGAAAATTTATTTAACTTTCTAAAATAATAATATTAGGTTTTGGTTTTGTCCCAAACTACCTTCCAAAAATCTGGTCACTTTACTTTTACATGAATTTGCTAAAGTATCAACGTACTTTTGCCCATAAAAAATTGTGGTACTTGTTAGTTATCTGATACCATAACAATCTATTGGCTCGTTTTGGTGATGAAATCTGGTTTATTGATTTCCGACGGGTATTGTTTAGCAGCCGCGTCCAAAATGGCTTCAAACGGATTGCTGTTCTGTGCTGTTAGTCTCTGCCTTCATACAAACTCTGATAAACTGGAAGAAGACAAATGATGATTTTACCACTTGTTTGCCTCGGTTTTGCTGATCCCCACGCGTTTCTTTGTTTGCGGGTAAACGCCAGGCTTTAAACCGAAGTTGAATTTAAAAAGGAGGCATACCTATCCTCTCTTACCCTTCCAAAAAAGAAAGAACATTAATAAGAAAAAAAAAAAAGAAAAAAAGAATAAAAATATCAACTTTATAGAAGAATCTGGAACAGATTTTAGAGTTGCAGAATCCTCGCAAGGAACAGAGTCACGGGTAGTATTTTTGACGATGCATTCTGATGGGTACCGGATTGCCAACAAGTACCGATATTTTTTTTTCCATTAAATAAACAGACATTTTTAACAAAGTTGGCATTTTTAAAATTATTCTTGCATTTTGTAAAACCAAGACGAAAAACATTTGCGTGTTATTTATTACATTAGCGTTTGCTTTACAAAATGCATTTATTATGCATTTGACTCATAATATTTGTGTATAATAAAGACGGGTGAGACAGAAATAAAGAAACGAAACACAGTATCTTCGAAATTATTTATTTGTGACATTTTTGGCACATACATCCAGTTAAACATAGTTTTTATTTAAACACAATTTTTATGTGCATTTAAGCATCAACAATCAATATGAAAGTTATAGGAGAATATCAGTTTTTTACGCAAAGGTAAAAAATGATTTCTCTCTTTTAAATTTGACAAAAGAAAATTTTATGCATATTTTATTTTAACACCAGTTTAGAATTTGAAAAATTATTAAGTAGTGCACTTACTTTATTTAAATAATCTTTCGTAAAATAAATTGTCTTTTACTTTACGAAAGAAATTTTTGTTTACCTATGCATTTGAAAAGAATTATTTTTACACATTCGTAAAATTGGTGCTTTAAAAAGACTTTATGGATAAAAATCTCACTCCGAAATAGGTTCTGTATTGCATTATTCTTTTGCAAATTGTTATTTTAAACTGATAGCTCTTTAAACATATTGATTGTAACTAGGATCTTAAGCTCGAGAGATTTTTAATAAAGTATTATGAAATGAAACTTAAACTAACTGGCCTACAGTCATACGAAGTTTTGCTTATTTATTAATTTTCATTATTAATTAAAGATTTTTTATTATTATTTAATTATTATTTTTTTCCCAAAGAAAACTTCGGAAATTATCTAAGGAAATAAATACTATTGCATATGGTTATGAACTTATAGTTAAGGAAAACTGATAATACCAATGGAGAAAAAATAAAAGCACATGAAAGTCAGATTCATTTGAAGAACAAATAATTGGAATAAACATGGTGTAATGAATAATGAATCCATAACCGAAAAAAGCATTTCTTACTCCTTAATAAACTGGTATATGTACGCTCTAGTAGAATAATTTACGTTATAGGCAAAGCAAATGCATTCTTCCATCTCCCTTAAGAAATAATCATGCAATGTATCTGGGAAGTTCAAATACTCTTACATTATACTCACAAATGATATTTAATGCAATTAAAGGTGATTTAATTATTTAACATAATAAGGTGAATTATAACAAAAGGGTGCATGATAAATAACCCACCTCATACGATGATGTTATCATAACGTTTGTTCTGCATTATTATTATTCTTGCTGTTTTCTTCTTATTATTTTAACGTTCCCTTAATAACGGAACTGTGAATGCTGCATGGTAATCATAAAAACTGAGCAACTCGTCTGTCAACTTGTCACATGAAAAGATACTAGGAAACATCTGCAACAACACTGGCACTGCCTCTTGTGGCACTTGCGATACGGAATAGTATATTATAGAATACTCTGAAGAGGCAGACTGTGGTCCCTTCACACTGACTGCTTGAAAATTCAGGAAAGAAGGTCACAAAGGACTTAAAAGTACACAAGCTTGTGTATCCAACTTGAGGCAGCATCTATGGAGCTCTTGCAGCAAAGATTTATATGGTAGGGTATAAGAACTTCCCAATCGCATTGCATCCAAGTAATTAAAATATAAGCTTTTATTTAATTGTGCAGTATCCTTCCGCTCTTAACAGTTATTCAAATGTTTCTCTGTTTTGAAAATTCTGGTATATTAGTATAAGACTCACAATTCGCATCAATAAAATCCAATTTAAGAATAAAATAGAATATTCTCTTATATTCAGTTTGATGAAACTTTGAATTTCATAGCTTTCTACCTTTAATTATTTTATATCAGTATTGTTTCTGGTTGAAAAATGTGCATGCGTTTATTTTCAGATTTATCTAAAACATAAATTTAGAGACATTTTTGAATATCAAAGAGCTTAAGAAACTTTTATAAAATGCTATAACAAAAAATACCTAAATTTGCATAAAACTGCAGAACCGGAAAAACATGTTACCTTTAGAACGCTGTTTAAATATTAATGATGTGTAGGACTACATGAAAATAATATACCTCCCTTAGATATGACTGCACCCTTTCCAGCACGTAACTAAGCTTCTTGGAAATCGTATTTAGGCATATTATGAAACGCATATTATATTTACTCATTGTTTTATTTAAATAATGTATTATTAGCAAAGAAAATAATTTCAAGTTTCCCCAGACTTCATTCTTCCGTATCCTTTCATTTGTAAAATTGTCATAACTGATGAACAGAAACACTAACAAAGGTGAATTAAAGATTCCATATTTCATTAAAAAATTCTGATTTTTTCCGAAAATTAAATGTTCTCAAATGAATCTGAAATTCAAAGAATTGTTCGAGGAGTTTTGCAAAACTAGGCAGTACTTTATGTCATATGTGCATTGCGAGCTTGCAGAACAGTGTCTCCATAATCGTAGTCAGGTTGCCCACCAGCTGCATATCCTCCTAAGTTACCGGTACCATATCCTCCTTGGTCACCAGGATTATAACCAGCGTAGCAGATCTCGAATTTTTCCCAGTAATCTGAATTGTGAATGGCATTTCCACCGCAGGCTCCGAATCCCAGCTTGTGGATACGGGCGAAATCAAAACAATCAATGTTTCCGCTGCCATCACAATCTTGACCATACTTACGCATATAACCCCTCACAGCTTCTTCTGCGCATGTTTTGTTATTCAGACAGGTCTCGAAATCTGCAAAAAATAAAAGCAGTTTTTAAGAAATAAAATTAATGGAGCTTATTACATACAACGAATATTTTGTTGCAGAACAAGAAAGGTTTATTTGCCACCCTACTGGCATGGCGTTAAGGAAGCTGGCTACTATAGCTTTGAACCAGGATTCAAATCTAAGAAAAAACATGGATGTTTGTAAATGTCTTTGCGGCCTATGGGCAGTTAAAATCCTGTCGAGTCGAAAGGCCTGTCAAGAAATTGGTGGTAGGAAAGAAAGAAGGAGAACAGTACCCGTTCAACAGGGTACTATTCATCGAAACTGTAAAGAAGCTTAACAAACCCGAACTGTTTGTTACCTGTAAGGTGTTCAAGGCCTAAGTCAACGGCAAGGCACAATCCTTACCATTTTGGCTTCGATAATTTCATGGAGACAATGCTCAGATGAGAAAGAAAAATTACAACAACAATGCAACAGGGTGTAATTTATGTGCATTCATGTATGTTGATTTCAAATATACAGTCAGTTCTTTTTTATCACTGAAAAATATTTGGTGTTGTCACTTGTTGAAGAGTACGTAAATGCCTCCTAAGAATGCATGAGTTTTTGAAGTTTAAATTAATGCATGTGCAGGTGTATGGATATATTGAAATTTAAATTAAGAGGAATATTTTTATTTATGAGCACGCCTAATACTTTAATATTTATATCGCTTTTAAAGTAATCAATCAACTCTAACAATAAACCCATAACTTAAGTATAATCTTGTCATCATTACACCCTCTGTCAGCTTGAAAGAAAACTATGCAAATTCTGAAAATCTTCTACTAGAGATCAGTATAAAAAAATAAATGGAATCTTTGTGATGATTTAAAATTAATCGCTGTTCAAATCAACTGGACAAGACAATATACTGTTTCACTTGTTAAAGAGGCAGCAGAGGTAGGAAGGTTTACTGTTTCACATGAAGGTTGTGAGCAAATGAGCATTACTAACTTTAAGAAAATTTAATGTCTCAACAAATGTTTTACGAGTGCTTTGTACATATCCTACCTTCTAAGAAGTAAAAGCTTCGAAATTTATTTCCAAATACAAATGATAATAAAACGAAAGCGATATTTTACAGGGCCAAAAAATATATATATTTAGAACAAAAGTCAGCAGTTGAATTGAGTTAGGGGACAAAAACACTGCTTGACGATCTTTCAGAAATTTTTACAATAATTTCTTCGAGAAATTTTACAATGATCTTCTCTTGATTTTGTACAAAATAAGCATTAACGATTTGCTTTCATCAAGTGCCGTAGAATGCCTTTCAAGTGCCTTAGAAACGTTCTCAGTAATTTGATATTTAAAAAATCCCAACAAATTAATTAAAATTCACAATGTGAATTTTAGATAATTAATGTTTCATGTGTTTAATTAAACATACATTAGAGCTTATACAGATTAAACAAATAATTAATAATACTAAGCAAATAAAAACAACTATACAATGAAAAGAAATCGGATATTATAAATTTACAAGGTAAGAAGAGACAGAAATGATATTTCCCCATAAACTTATTAAAAAATCGTAAATCAGGATTACCATGTGCACGGCCTTTGTCTCCAGGTCTTCCTCCATCATGCCAATATGCCCACGAAATCACGTACGGTCCACAGAAGTACGCATCACCTCCAGCATTATGACACTTCAAAGTTTCGTCGCAGTTGCTACTTGCCTGTAATAAATAAACCAATTACTTAATACTTTGTTTTCAATAGCATAATTTTACTAAAAGTAGAATAAACTTAATCAAGAAAAAACAAGAACCAAGAAGAAACTTAAAGCAGTTATCATATTAATTGCAGAAGAAGAGAAATGAAGGAAACTGTACTGCGGACCTTACACTTTCGAATTTTTTTTTATTATGTTGAAATTAAAGCCGAAAATGCTGTTTTGACAGTAGAAACAGCTGCAGCATCTTTTCGCATTTTTAAATCAAATTATTAATATAAAGGGTTATTAAAAATAAACGTCATGTACCATATGTCGTAAACGCATTTTATACTAAGCAAAATTAAATCGTTAAATACGTTTAGAATGATATTCTTCCATTTAAATGCGTTGTTCCGAATGACATTAAAATGCTTATAGTTGTGTGAGAAACTTCTAGTTATTCTGCATGTATCTATAACTAAAAATTTAGAAGCTGCCCTTCCACAAATTTATATTTTTAACGTCGAATTTGTTAGTATGTCAATAAGTTGTTCCTTTCATTTTCAAACCTTCTTATTTATCATACTACTGGAACTTATATTTTAGCCAGTCATATTTAGTTTTTTCTTCTGGGAAATATTCTCCTGCAGTTTTTTCAACTAAAAAAGATGCTTCGTTGTATAATTTTTAAACCTGTCATCTAAATTCAATTAATTTTCTATTGGAAAACTTTTATTTTTATTTATTTATTTATTTTGGCAAAGCATTGCACGTTATTCTCTTTGACATGTGATGACCACATGCTAAGTTTTAAAACTAATCTGTAACTAAATGTATCCTTATGTTTTTTAGTTAATAAAATCATTATACTTCCTCTATTCGTATTCGTTAACTAATGTTCGAATTTTTATTTTGATTCTCGAAACCCTGGTGTTTGACTCACGGAGCCTCAGAGTTCTACGAAAAACAGTTTAAAGACCACTGATTTAAAATATAAATAGGAAATAGGTTACATTTTCTTAATATCTTTTATATTTAGTAATCTTAGAAATGTCTGCAGGCAAGTCTTTCCATCTTTCACATCAGTTTAAATAATATTAAACTACGTTAGGCTATTTTAAGGTAAGATAACACAGTATTAATTGTACTGGAGAGGGTCAAATTATTAATTCTGAAAGCAGTTGCCAATTTTTCCGCAGATGATCTTGTATTTACATTTCTGGTTTCTGCCAATTCTAAGATGTATTGCTAATCAAAGTTATATGTTACGTGCTTCTCTACACAATAATAATCTAAATGCCACATTGCAAAGAGTTGCTGTATTTCAAAAAGTATTTGAAAGAAACTCTTTCTTAATTGAGTTTGATTTACAAATACTATTTTCTTTATTCGTCGTTTTATAGATTATTTCTCGAATATTTGAATAAGAAAATGGTTATAATTCGTTAATTTAATAAAATCTGCGGTCTATATGCACAAATACATAACTATTTTTTTTAAAAGAAAAATTTACTTAGACAAATTTAGGTTCATTTAGATTTAGATCCATCAGAATAGAAATTTTCCAATAATGACCTGTACTTTCCCAACCGAGCCTGAATCATAGCAAACTTGTAATGTAAGGAAATACGATGGTGAAGAAATCTAAGTGAAGAAGCATTAAAACTGTTATTACAGAATTAACTGACAGAAACGTCCACTTGTATCATACAGTACTCAGCATGCCAATACTATATAATAAACGTTTTTTCATAACACGTGTAATTTTCGCTTAGCTCTTTGCATTTAAGAGGTTTTACTAGTTCAAACATGAGTTCTTATACAAAAATTGCTGTACTAAGATGCTGTAAACGGGTGTTAAGTTAATCAGTATTTTTAAGCCTCCTCAACGCTTTGGAGTTTAAAATTTTCCAATTAGAGGCGTTAATTCCAGAGGTCTCTTAACTTTTTCCTTTAAGTTTATTTGCTTATGTAAAATAGCTCACCAGTGCCCGAGGAGTAAAATTCGTTGAACACTGGTAGTTCGACCTGAATTCGACTCCGAGCCCTTTAGTATTGTAGTCAACTCCCCTAACCACTACGCAGTCTGAGACGGATATTATATGGCTATAAATGTATTTTTTTTAACTCTTTTAAAAATTTTTTTCACCAAACAATAAAATAATTTTCTATTTATTTGAGAGCACAACCCATTTTGATTTTAACTAAAAGAGAGAAAATGAACTGATTTTTTTCATTTTCGTCGTAAAACTGAATAATAAATCGTAATCCAATTACAGTACACCGTTTATCAACATTTATAAAGTAGTCAATTACTAAAATCTGCAAGCCAGTCCGTGTGTCGTAAACTTTGACACAAATTAAATGAATTGATTTTTGAAAATATATAGTGAACTATGTTATCTTAAGAAATTAGTAAAATGCAAATAAATTAACATTTTGTTTTCATTTATGTGATAAAAAATAAACGATCTAGATAAATGGAATCTGGATAATTACAGCTTATTGTACTAGATCAAAACACTTCATTAAGGGCATCTTCTGCGGCGCATAAATACATCCCAACCGATATTTCAATCTCTAATCATGTTGTTACTATTGTGCTAATTTACAGTTTCTAGTTTTTTACATTTTCACACTTCTTCCCAGCTTCCAGCATAACAATTCAAGCAATTCAGATATTTATACAAATATCAATTGTGCGAGAATGAGGTTAAATATTCAATTCCTAAACTTCCATTTATGCTTAATCCTATCGAGATTCGTAAACAATAATGAAAGGGCACGTCGCTCTTAGGAGGTTGTCGCTGTACTGTTAACCGGAAATTAGTTTGAATTCTTGGCTTAGATTCAATTGGATCGAATCATGTAGATTATGGCAAAGCACACGAGAGCTATGTGCTTAAGGGATTGTTTTCTTTGTGAAGGAATCTTCTAGGGGAGTTTGATTCACATTCATGTTACAAATGGTCAAAGCACTCGTGCAGCTAGCCCATCCTCTGAGGTTTGAACTCCGGGCGAGCTATTCAATTTTCGTCAATTTTCCATTCTGCTGCAAACGATAGCTCGCCTACACATCTTAGACATTTCACAAGCAGAGAATTTAAATTGAGAGCGACACCCTGTTCTTCATTTATGTAGCTATTATATTAATGGTGGTGTATTTAATTATGGCAAAGCACACTAGGGCTATCTGCTTAAGGGGAGGGATGCCTTCGTGGAGGACTTTCTAAGGGAAACTGGCCTCGTATATACGTTACACATGGGGGGAAAACCATGAAAAACCCATGCAGCCAGCCCGTTAGCGGGATTCGAACCTCGGACCGAACTACCAGTGTTCAGCGACTTTACCGCTCGGCCGCTGGTGGGCTCTATTATATTAATGACTTGTGAAATATTTTATTTTGGTTCAAGAATGGCCCCCCAGTTTGAATGCTAAAATGCGGTTTTTCACGATCCCCTAGATTAAAAAAACTTAGGAGTGTTATATCAGAAAATCTGGCTGGCCACGAGATGATCCATGCAGTGCCCCTCTACGGAAGGTCGTTGAATACGTGAATTCTTTTGAGAATCTTCCATCAATTAAATTCCTTCTTATGGGACAGTTTGATTTAATTTTCCAAATATTTCTCAGCAGTTCCGTCAGTGGCATGAGAGCTTGATGTGAGATTTTAATAACTGAAATATGAGGTATATAATTTTTTTCTGTTAAATCTGCTATATCTTGTTTCTGTTAGATGTGTTGCATTTCTATGTCATGTAGAATATATCTTAATTGTATATAGGGAAAAATTAAACTTATTTTTTTATTTTTTATTAATAGTATACCGTCCTTTGTGTGGAAAGAAAAAGAAGTACAGAAAATATTTCCTGAAGACACATAATATGCTGGAAAAATTCATAAAAGTGGGAAAAATTTCTTCTTGAAAAGGAGAAAAATTAAAACACTGTCTCTTAATATAAAAAAAATATAATGTAGTACATACTCCTTCTTGCAAGAGGGATTTTATACATACCCAGATCAATAAAAATTGCATAATTAAAACTTAGTTCTACCTGAGGAAACGTATCGCCATCTTGCACCACACGTATGGTTTTTAAAGCTAACAGTATCAGCTACAACTGAAATTTAAAATGATATACTATTTGCCGTTGTACAGAGGTATGATCCATCGAAACAATTTGGCATTTCTATCCATTTTGGAATTTCCACAATTTTTATGTCCGCGATTTTCGTATCATCTCATAGATTAAATCGTGTGTATGTCTGACCTATCATGTACCAAATTCTCGTTCATATTACCCCCCAAAAAATTTTAGATATTAATTTCTAATTTTTACCTTAATTGATTAACCCCAGTTAAAGAAATGAACAATGTAAATACCAAAACTGCCTATGATAATTTGTTTCACTTCAATGCGAAAAGGAAAAAAAATTCTAGGTTCTGAAATTTTGGCATTCAAATATAAAATACGTTAAATATTTTCTAACTAAAATTTTTTTGCCATAATTACTTTATATTCTTATTAAAATAACAAATTTTTATATTAATAATTTTTACAGAATCTTGAGATTCTCGGGGATTTATTTCCAAAAGGGAAGTCAGATGCTGAGCACTAAATTAATTAAAAATTTAAGAATTCTCAAATTGCCAGAAAGCCAAATGATGAGGTAAACACAGTTATTAGATAGTAACGTACGCTGCAGAATATGAATGATTTTATGTTGACGAGCAGTAGATCAATAATATTCAAGATGAATCAGAACACCACAGATGAATACATTTTTTTTTTAATTACTTTGAAGGAAAATCTCCAAGGGGAAAAGTAAAATAATAATAATTTACAATTGTACAATAACTATACAAAACTAAACCCTGTTATACTGGGATAAATATTTGCTTCCTTTCATAGATAGCAAGCTGATTAATCGTTCGCCCCCTCCCGACTGTTAGGAGGAAGCACCCACTTTACTTTCTAGCCACAAGGTAATTATCTCTTTGAATAAGTAGGTGTATTGAC